TCAGCTAAATGACATCCGGACCGGCCACACCATGCTCAGCCAGTGAGCACTGTGAGCACACTGGTCATCCCTATATAGGATCCGAACCCACGGCGGGAGCGCTGCTGCACTCCCAGTGCCACACTCTCCCGAGTGCGCCACGGGCTCGGCCCAAGAAGTTATTTTTTTAAGACTCTACCCTGTTTTAATTAATGTCATAATGAGTCAACCAAGATTGACTAGATTTCAACTTTGACCAATGGAAGAGACTGTCGTACTGACCTCCACCTTTGAAAGAAAGGGCTAATAGTAATGATTTTTGTGCTACTGGCTGCGTAAGTCTTTGAAAACCCACTCATTTATTTGTTTAGTTTAATGACTCCATGCTATAGACTGAATGTTTATATTCTTCCAGATTCATATGCTGAAACCTAATCCCCAAGGTGATAGTATTTAGAGGTGGGGACTTCAGAAGGTGATCAGGTCATGAGGGTGGGACCCTCATGAACAGATTAGTGCCCTTATAAAAGAGACCCCAGAGAGCTCTCTCACTCCTTCTGTCATATGAGACCCAGCAATGAAACAGCCTTCGATGAACCAGAAAGTGGCTCTCACCAGACACCAAACCTGCCAGGTGTTTTGATTTAGGACTTCCAGGCTTCAGAACTGTGAAAAATGCATTTCTGTTGTTGATAAGCCACCCAGTTTATGGTAGTTTATTGTGGCAGACCAAACAAATTAAAGACACTCTGGCTTTCAATACAGCCTCTTTTCTCAGCTAACAACTTTCTTTCAAAGTTTAAAATGAACAAATTGGTAAATATCCATATATATAAAATAATCCCATCTGAATATGTAAAAAAAAAAAAGCTTAGGTATATGTATAAAGATGTTCATAGAGTGACACACTTGCAGAGAAATACTTCTAGATTTTATTTCTATCTTTCTGTACCACTGAAATATTGTGAACATGCATGCACATTTAAAAAAAGTTTTTACTTAAGTAAATATCCCAACACAATTCAAGACATAACAAATACCTAGTTCCGCACAAGCACAAAAGCTTGATGAAATTTACATTCTCCGTTACATACCAATTTGGTAACAAAAAAAAATGAAAATTATTCTTTGGGTGCTTTCAAAACATTGTTAGTGAAAGGATTTTTTCATTCTTATTTTTTAAACGGCTATTCCTTCACCCCTTAAAAACCTATTTAATTGCCCTGAAAAGATGTGAAAAGTATTAGGCTCCCCAGAGATATCCTAACTCCCCAAAAGCCTGCTCTGAACTTCAACTGAGAAAGAATCTGGAACTCCAGGACTGGAGGTGGCTTCCAGGGCTGGGAAGTGATTTCTGTTCAGCTCGGCCGGCCAGGCCATGGACCCCACAGGTCTGTGTGAGAGGAGTTGAGCTCTGAGTCTCAAGTGGTCTAAAGTGGCACATGTTCCTGAGGAAGGATGAATGACAACTGCATGCAAACATCTTTTAACCGTGCTTTCTTCCAGCAAAACCTCTCAATGAAGTAAAGGAGACGCTGCTGCCCCCTGCCAGCCCCCCACCCCAATTCCCTGCCCGCCTCA